CTAAGGATGCCAGGAAACAAGATCCCACACTGTTAAGGATGTTGAAACTGTAAAACTCTTTCAGATGGTAATTTGAAAATAAAGATCAAGTCACAAAAATATCCATTCTTTCTGAACTGGCTAATATATTTTTAGGAACTTATATGAAAGAAATTTTATTTTACACAAAAAAATAAATAGTGCTATTAACCATAGCACGGCTCTGAAAGAAAGAACCTGAAATCAAAATGCCTATCATTAAAGGGCTCTTTAATGAAAAACTATACTGTCATCAGAAATTATTGTGGTGAAGCATTAAGTGGAAAAGCTGGTTATAAAACTATGACATAAGACCAATTTTGATATTTTTAAAATATAGGTATATAAAAAGAAAAAAGAAACATTTATGGTAACATTAATAGTATTGAACTATCAGTTATTCCTTTAAATGAATTTTGGTTTCTTTAAATTTTTCTGCAATAACTATATTTATTTGTAAAAAGAAAAAGTTTATAAAATTCAGGTTTCAAATGACCATTGTTTACCTGGCCAGGAGATCTGATATCACATAATATCCAACATTCTTTTTAACCAAACTTTCTTTTAAAATTATGAAAATTATTTTTAACTTAAATGTGGGTAAACATCATTGGCTAGTAATAATTTCCAAACATGACTCCTATGAGACCTCAAACAGTAATAATATGACATTGTTTTATAACATGAAAGAAAAGTAACTAAACAGAAAAGTCAAGAATAACTCTCAATTTGTACATACAGGTCAAAAAGCAAATGCATGATGAAAAATTTTACCATACAGAATATATTATGTGTCTTTAAGTTATAACTTAGTCCTTGGCCTGTGAATCTATCCACCAAGTGAATCACCACAGCAAAATCAATTCACTATCTACCACAAAAAAGATGTGAGGCGACATGGTTATACACCAGGAAAGTAGGGTGTGGAAAAAACACACACTAAAAGCAAAATATGGTGAAACAGAAAAAGAGCAGAAATACACAACCTCAAGATCACAATGACAGCGAAGGAATTTACCTGTAGGTATGTAACACTAGCACCATCTGGTGGAAGACCAGTTAGAAGCAATTCTCCAACTAGCACAGTTTTTTTAGAAAAAACTGAGTTATCTTTCAAAGTATGAACATTTTCCAAAGAGAATGAGTCTAGCAACAGTAGAATAATTACACAGAGGACCCATAATAGGCCTATGAGAACTTAAAATGTCTACCAAACAGAGGGTGAGTGTACCCTGGGATGGACATCCCATCATATCAACAAAGCAGAATTTCAACCATACAGATTTCTCTGGGCTACTTTTCCTTCAGTGTCTCATATCATATCAGATGAACACTGTTAACCCACAAAAGAAACCTAAAAAAGACAAACCCAAATTACTTCCAAACAGAACTGTAATTTAGAATTTGGGGTTCCTCGAAGTACCAGCTACCTACTCTCTTGGCCTATAAACTCAACAATGGTACTCACGCCACAAGAGAATCTAATTCTGGTTTATGTTTACAATGATAATGAGCTGCTACAATGTATCGCAATGTGTCAAAACAATTACATTTAAATCACTTTGACCGCTGTCAGTGGGGCATTCACAGATAAGGATGACAAAAATCACTGGTACCTTCCAATGCCGTCATGGGGAAAGCCAATCAACAAGCTGAGGGACAAAGGAGACGCAGAGCTTCTCTCCATCTGCAGCTGGTTGGGTCCCTCTACCGAGGCAGAGCAGTTTCTGACAAAGAATGCAAGCAGCAGAAATTGTGGGTCTCTACCACTCTCCAGGGCAAGCATTCCTTTCATTTTCTTTCTCCCTTCCTTTCACTGTTTTCTGTTTCCCTTGGTGGGGGCGGGGGAGAGCGCGCGGGGAAAGCCTCCGTTCCGCCCCTCCCCATCTACATTTGAGTCCAACATGAAGTTGATACAAGTACTGTACAATACCACTAAAGGAAGCTCACAAAAAAGACAGTCACAGGAGCAACCAAGCAGGAGGCCTGATGCCTAAGTGAGTTTACACTGGGTGCATGGAGAAGGGCCCCACTGCACCAGGACAAGAAAACATGCTCAAAGAGTATGACACTAACCGTGGAATAGGCTGTTGTTTGCAGCAATACTGTAAATAGTTCACGTTCATTAGTAAAAGTTCCCAAAACTAAGAGGCCAAGGAAGAAACACTCATCTAATTTTACAATTAAACTGTGCTTTGGTCAACATTTTAAAATGTCCTGATTTTAAAAAACATGATGTCAACCTCCCTACCATCCTTACTGCCCAAACATACCAAAAAGTGTGCTTCTGCTTCTTGCGGTTAACTTCAAAACTATCAGATTTTAAGGCATTTAATTTGTATTTACTCATGTAATAACAGATTATCTGTTTATTCTTGTTCAAATGTAATTCTACATTTAGATATAAATCTAAGAGTATGAATTAGAGTTTTCTTACAAAGGAAGGCTTACTTTTTCTTTTTTATGCCTTCTATTTTTTTTTTAAACTTATATAGATCTTGGGGAATTTATCCACTAATAAAAATATGTGGAATTCAGATTGCTATGGCATAGACTTTTTCAGAATATTGCAAGATATATTATTCCTTTATTATCCATCCAATAACAGAAGTCAGAATGAGAATTACCAACTTAGAGGGTAATAATATTCTAATATTTTGCTAATAATAGTGCTGAATAATACAATTGAATTATTAAAAGTTCTAAGAACAAAAAAAAAGGAGAGAAGCAAAGAGAAAAAGACAATGAGAAATAAAATAATTACCGAGAGAGATACAGAAACTGAGATACACTTTACCAGCAGCTAACAGCTCAGTTCTTTTCATCTATAGTTGAATCAAGTTTTGGAAAAAACAATGGTTTGTGCTACATTCCCCAGTATTCTCCCAAATGCTACTGCTGACAATCTCAGTAAACTCCACTAATAAATCATACACATTTTATTATTTTTAACACTATTACTCATTCCTCCTTTCCTTCCTTGTCTTATGTTTGTCTCTACCTCAAATCCCCCTCCCTGCCAACCGTTCCTTTCCTCTGACGTGAACTTATACCTCTGCAGAAGTCATCCCCCCTCCCCGTTTAATGGTGACCTTATTTACCTACAAACGTTACCTAACACATTCACCAACCACCAGTCTCGAGTTTGAATCATCAGACCCTTTTCTGGGGCAACCAAGAAACTTCAGAAATTTCTTTTGGCCACCCAGATAACACTCAGCGGAAAAAAAGAAAAAAAAAAAAAACAAACAAACCCTGAAAGCGCACGCCAAACCTAAGATGACGACTCTAGATTAACTGCTTTTTCTAATCGTGCTTTTCAAAAGTACACTGAACAGACAGAGGCAGAGAAGGAGTTATTCAGTTCAGCAGGCTGCTCCATTTACTTCTTTATCTATGGTCAGATCTTTACTTTTTTGGGATAACTGCATATTTCTGGCTCCGCTATATTATACTGTGTAAATATTTAGGAGAAATAATTCCTTTCAAGGATCTAAACTTCCACTGTCGTTATGGCAAATGAACCTGTTTATGCTACGTTCATTAAGTAACAGCAAGTCTAAAAGAACATAGGGATTTACTAATATATGTGGAACACAAACATCACAATCATCAAGCTTCTCATAGGGGCATATCAAGGACATGAAAGGCCAGTTTATTTTTACTCCCACTGCCCTATAACTTTCTTTAACTCTATTACAACAATCCTTAATTCAAACCTTTCCTACAGTTACAGTAACAGGGTAGACTGAATGTATGTAAGCTGTACCCAAACTACCCACATCGCCATTTAACCTTCCTTGATTCTCACATGGTTATCAAACTCAATGCTGCATCATAATCTGCTGAAGGTTGTTAAAGCACACACGTCCAGAGTTCCGGCTTTACTGGTGTGGAGAATTTGCATTTCTGACAAGTTTACTGGTGATACTGATGCTGCTGGGACCATAAAGGTTTTAAACCTTTACTGAGGTATAATTTACATTTCATAAAGTTCACCCATCTTAAGTATATAATTCAATGTTGTATGACCATCACCAAAATCCAATTTCAGAATATTTCCATCCCCAAAAGATCCTTTGGTGCCCTTTTGCAGTACTCATTCCCATCTCCAACCCCAGGTATTCACTAATTTACTTTTTGTCTCTAGATATTCACCTGCCTGGACATGTCATATAAATGGAATCATAAAGTATGTGGCCTTTCTGTCTGGCTTCTTCACTTAGCATAATGCTTTTGAGATTCATTCATGCTGCAGTATCACTAGTTCTTTTTTATTGCTAAATAGTATTCCACTGTCCTAGAAATACTGCATTTTGTTTATTCTCTTATTCATCAGTTAAAAGAATTTGGGGTTGGTCCAAGTTTCTGATATTGTGAATAATGCTGCTATAAACATTTATTTACAAGTCTCTGTGTGTACATACATTTCATTTCTCTAGGATAGATTTCCAGGAGGGGAAATACTGGGTTGTAAATCCATGTTTAATTTTTAAGAAACTGCCTAGGTACAACGAATAAGGACTCCAGTTTGTTCATTTCCTAGATAATACTTGCTGTTGTCTGTCTTTTTGACTACAACTATTCTAGTGGTCATGAAGTGCTATCTACTTGTAGCTTGCTTTACATTTATTAATTATTGATGATGCTGAATATTTATTCAATGTCTTTGCTGGCCTTTCCTAATCTTCTCTAGTGGAATATCTATTCAAATCTTTGCCCATTTTTAATCAGCTTGTCTCATCGAATTATGTGTTCTTTGTCTATTCCAACTACAAGTCCTTCATCAGATACATAATTTGCAAACATTTTCTCCCAATTTTTGCCATGTCTTTTCATTTCTCTAACGGTCTTGGGAAACGGAAAAGTTTTAAATTCTAATAAAGTCTAGAACTATCCTTTAAGAAACAGTGTTCTAAAGCCCGAGGGAGGCGCGCGCGCCAGGGCACGCGCTCAGCCGTTGCGTGGAGGGACGAGGCAGCGCCGCAAAACCGCCGCCTGGTCGGCTCTCGGTCTACCCCGCCCACCTGTCTGCCCGCCCAGCGGCCAGCGCCTCCTCCGCCATGGGAGTGCAGGTGGAGACCATCTCCCCTGGAGACGGGCGCACCTTCCCGCAGCGCGGCCAGACCTGCGTGGTGCACTACACGGGGACGCTGGAAGATGGAAAGAAATTTGACTCCTCTCGGGACAGAAACAAACCCTTTAAGTTCGTGCTGGGCAAGAAGCAGGTGATCCGAGGCTGGGACGAAGGGATTGCCCAAATGAGCGTGGGTCAGAGAGCCAAGCTGACTGTCTCCCCAGACTACGGGTATGGTGCAAGAGGGCACCCAGGCATCATCCCACCAAATGCTACTCTCATCTTTGACGTGGAGCTTCTAAGAGTGGAATGATACGACTGGCCTCCTTCCTGAAGTCCCTATTCTCTGATGTGCCATGGAAAGACAGGGCGCCTCCAGCTACCTACAAGACTGTATGGAGCTTCTCCTGATGCTCCACTACACTCTTCCCGTAAACATCTTCCCTAGTTGAATGCGTTCTGTCACTAGCTTCACTATTCCCCCTTCCTCCTCATATGTGTGCTGACCTGAACGAGATGCCATAAACCTCAAGTTACTCATTTTAGTTTGTTTTTGTTTTGGGGTGAAGACTGAGTTTTAGTTCTTTGGCTCTAGGTTTTCAGTTAAGTATTAGTCAGGTATTAAAACAAGTAATGGATTAAGTTCAGAACAGGAACTGGTGTGTGGAGGGGGCGGGACAAGGATATTATTTAATTTTATCTTATTTTGGATGAAAGTTTTCTCTGTTATAAATTAAACATTCTTAATGCTGCAATGCACAGCCATAGCAGACTTGAGACACTTTTCAGGGCCAAACTATTCTCCAAGTTGAGAGATGTCCTTGGGCTGAATTAAAAGCCCTACCCAAAACTAAAGTGGGAAGGGGGAGAGCCTTTGCCTCCACTGCCCTACCCCCCGATTCTCCCCTTAAATCCTCTGCCTTTTGAAAGAAAACTGTTTTCACTGAGATGTTGGACACCACAGGTGTCTGTTCCCAGACCGACAGGGGCCTCTGACGCCTTTTTCAGGGCCTGCCTTTTTTCCATCTTGTGCTTTTTGTAATGGATATCCAGGACTTTTGTAATCTCATAGTTATCCAAGCTCCACTTCATAATTTTAAGAACTTTAATCAAAAGTTAAATTTAACGTGCTGTTTGTAGACACTTAACACTCAGAAGCCCAGGCCATCATGCCATGGCCATGACAAATCCTTGAATTCTACCTTAAGAAAATGATGCTGGTCGTCACAGCATCTCTTGTGTTTTGATGGCCAGCTACCCCTGCTGATCTCAGAGATTCCTGGCTTCTCCCTCTCACCCTTTGCTGTCCTATGTAGTGATTTGGTGAAAGAAATTGCTGCCTACTCCCCTAACCCATCCCTGCTTTATTAATGCAATAAAAGTGCTTGATGCTGGCTTTTCTTTAAAAAAAAAAAAAAAAAAAAGCCTCAAAAATTCAAAAGAAATAGTAAGCCCTTGAAAAATGTGAAAGCTTAACGGCTTTCATTCACATAAGCAATATGCAAATATCAATCATAGTATCTGCTTTTCTGTTTTGCTTTAGCAAAGCCTATCACAACTATCATCCTAAACATATTTAATCTTTTTAGAATAAAAGGAATAAAGACTTGCAACTAGCTGGCTTTAATACATTATAGAATTAATAAATTCAGCTGCAGGTGGGCCTAGCTGAGAACAGTGGATGGCATGCTGGCACTAAAGAACATGGACCTCTGTGTCAGTGTTTTCAGAGTCATTCATTGGTCAGTATATGCATTTTGATACCATTCTTAAGAATATAAGTATAACTCAAACAGGGGCTCTGTACCAACCTAGAGGGGTGGAATGGGGAGGGAAATGGGAGGGAGATTCAAGTGGGAGGAGACATATGTATAACTATGGCTGATTCATGCTGAGATTTGACAGAAAACAAAATTCTGTAAAGCAATTATCCTTCAATTAAAAAATAAACTAAAGAATATAAGAAATATTTCCACCTTACAAACTAGTAGAAATAAAGATAAATGGTGTACCATGGAAAATAGTATAGAAAAAGACTGTATTACTTGAAAGAAATACATTTATTTTGATTTCTGTTTTTATTAGTTTTTCATATCAGGGCATTTAAAATAATTCATATACAAGTACAGCCCTTTGTTGAATATTTACTGTACCTTGAATGAAGAAGAGTCAAAGATTGCAGCTAAAATTCAAATCTTATCTAAGATCATAACTTGCAAATGCATAAAACATACTTCAGGAATATACAGGATACATTTGATTCAGGTAGAACCAATATTAAGATGATTCATTTCAAGGGTAAAACCCAAATTATTACATGCTTGCTTTATATTTTTTCCTTTTTTCTTGATAACTTTAAACTATTTGGTATTGGGGTATAGCCAATTAACAATGTTGTGGCAGTTTTCTAGGTAAACAGCAAAAGGACTCAGCCATACAGACATGTGTATCCATTCTCCCCCAAACCCCTCTCCCACTGATTATCCATGTACAAAAAGCAAAGTTATATGAATACTATTTCTATAACCATGACCTAAGATACAGATTCTGTGATTTTATGGAAAAACTACAGTAATAAGAAGGATCCAGTTAAAAGATTAAAACCCATTTAAATTTGCAAAAGAATCCTTCTTTATATAATTCAAGCCAGTCTAGGACCCAAAGCAAGAAGCTTTGTATACTGAAGAACTCCTAGGCTTCTACTATAAAATGTTTTCAAATATTTATGTTCTAATTCATGGACCCTATTCATAACATAAAAGCCATTAGTCCTCATTGCCTTTCAGTTGCTGGAGATGGATTTTATTATTTTATTAGTCTTCATAAGTCACAATACAAGTCTGATGGCCAGTACTCAGTCTCCTTTTTCACTGAGCCACCCAGAGCCACTTAAGACGCTGTCCAAAGAGATGTCAGAGAATACAGTTTCATAAGAGATCCACAGTCTCTCAAAATGGTCTGGCTCCTAATAAAAACTTATAAGGCATCTTATCCAATCACTTTACATTTTCTGTAATTCAAAATAATTACAGTCATTAGAACATCTTTCCCAAATTACACAAAATTAAGATATCACCATCTTTGCGACATTACTGAACTTGAGAGCTGAGATAAAGATCAAGACACAAAAATAAAGAATCAATTAAAAATAAATAAATTTTTTAAAAGAAATAAAGGAAAGCTTACTTAATAGCCAACAACCAATTATAATTTATCCATAAAATTGAAAGGTAAGAAAAAGCAAAATAATAAATTTTTTAAGCCTTCATTTTATAACAGTGTTCAAGCCCCTTCTTCAACCACTTAGATTCCAGTTACTAGCAGGAACAAACTCAGCAGGTTACCCTACTTTTCCTCCTGTCCTTATTTACCAATCAGTCCTCTGATCTTAGAACACCAAGGCTCAATGAAAAAAAAAAAAAAAACAGGAAGCAGCAGCAGCAGCAAGGACCTCAAACAGGAGGTCTGTCTTTGACAGTTATGTGTGTGTGCATCTGTATGACAATATGATCGTAAGAGAAGCTCATCCTCCAAAATCTACAATTTCCTAGTGAGGTTCTTAAAGACAATAAGGTGCAAGGAGATCTGCATCCTCTGCCCCCAACTCTCACCATTTATCCTGTGAAATCCAAAGGATAATCACTAAAACCTTTCCTTACACAAACAGCAAATTAATATCACGCCAAATAGGTACAAAGGAGAATAAGAACACAGAAACACCTTTGACGCTTGTTTTGCAAATCTGGGTGCCTCTCTCCAAACTAACAGAACTGTACTACTATAGCAACTCATCCATCTATGAACAAATGCCCTCAGCCTAGTTCTGAGAAAGGGAAGAATGATCAGTTATATCTGTCTTCATCTTGTCTGAAAATCTTGACATTTTTCAGCAAGTAAAGGTTCCAAATGGCAGGTGTCAGAATGTCTTAGCCTCACACGTGGTGCTGGAAGGCAGGAAAAGCAGCAGCAGCATGTGGTCATGTCAGAGCAACACAGAAGCTGCCTAGGGAGCACATTCTGAAAAGAGCAAACCTCAGACTCGGTTAAATCAATCTAGTGCCAGATGCCACTCTCAGAACAAAGCTGCGGTGCCAAGGATTAGCTGCCCAGAGAAACATTCAACTCAAGGCTCTCACAAAAGGGAAAATAGCTGAGTGCAATGGCACCTGTCTATATCCTGTCTGACAATTTGGTCAAACTAGCTCCTTCAATGCAGAGGCAAAAAATGATCAAAGAATTCTTTGCTTAGTCTACAAGCGAGTATTATTTCCTCAAAGCCATTTTCAGTTGATCTGAAGTCAACAATGTGAATCTCTTGCATTTCTGTAGTATTTATAGCTTTTTGTAAGTGCTTTAAGATCTAACTCCCATAAGGAAGTCAGAATCATTAAGTACCCTCTTCATTTAACCTGTGGGATTAGAAAGAACCAGAGATTATTATTAAAAATTAAATTATTATTAAATTAGTTATTATTTAAAGTTAAATCAAGATCACCTGTAACTAAAACTCAAAAAGGAAAAACTGTTCTCTGGACTGTAAGGCCAGGCTTCTACCTACTCAAATACCTCCCTCTGCCCACTTCTCACTGCCCAATCATCTTTTCACAGGCTTTTTCAATAATTAGAAAGCTTTGGGGCCTTTTGAAAGATTTTTGTGAAAGTTAATCAGTAAGCATTTTTGTTCCCAGAGGTTCACATATTGGCATGATGGTCTACTTTATTTCTCCTCATATCTCAGTCTAAGAAAAAGAAATGATTTCGAGGAAAACTCAAAGCAGGAGATACTGTACATGCATAAGAATAGGTTATCTGTTTAGGAAGGAGCATTCACTGTCCAGTCATCTGGTTAGATACAACAGAAACTGAACAAATTAGGATCCATTCAGATGAGTACATCCATTCAAGGAGCCTGGTGAGCTGTAGTCCATGGGGTGGCAAGGAGTCAGACATGACTGGGCATCTGAACAGCAGATGAGTAGTACACAGTTAATGGTGTAACCATCCATGGAAAAGAGCACTCAATATCATTTAGGTTTTTATATTCTATTGAAAAATACAAAGGGATCCCTGGGCCAAGGATTGATGCCTCAAAACACCCGATTTCTTCCCATGCCTCAAAAGACAAAACACAAATAAGAACCAGGACTTCCTTGGATTCAAGTTAATAGTATTTTTAAAAAAAATAGTGTCCAAGTGAGAACCTTTGGAAGCATCCAGAACAAGCATGGTCTTCCAATTCTTGTACAAATTGGTTTCTTCCTCAACATTTCACTCCCTGTGGCTACATCACTGAAATGTATTTATTTGCCATACCCTTTTAGTGCATATTTTCAAACTAAAATAATTCACCAGAGTCTACATTATCTTGTCTTGCCTTTTAAGCAACTATAGATACTACAACTCTGTGCAGCTAGCTCAAGTAATTTCTTTGTAATTTTCCTATCTGAGGCCAATTAACATATATAGCACAGAAAGAATAAAAGTAAATATGAATTAACACAGACCAACAATCATATAAGGACTAACAATACTCTCAGATAC